TCTTTTTTTTTTTTAGTCTGTGTAATCTCTGAAAATCTTATGTCCATTTTAAAATGTGCATTTGAATGTATGAGTAATTCTTTTGCTAGGCTTTTTAAAATTACTTTAATAGTGGTATTTCCCTTTGGTCCCTATTATGAGTCAAAAAGTACAGAATATAAAACAATGGAAGAAAGATTAAAAAAACATGGTAGGGCTGGGGATGTGGCTCAAGCGGGAACACACTCCCCTGGCATGAGCAGGGCGCTGGGTTCGATCCTCAGCACCACATTAAAAAAAAAAAAAAAGATGTTGTGTCCACCGAAAACTGAAAAATAAATATTAAAAAATTCTCTCTTCTCTCTCTCTCTCTTAAAAAAAAACATGATAGAGAAACAGACTGGAAAGTTCTATTTAGTCTAAAGAAAAACAAAATAAACTTCATTAATAATTAGTTCTGGGAGCACAGAATTTTTTCTCAATGTATAGTACTGATTGGCCTGTCATAAGAAAAATATTAACTGTACCATTCTGGACTGAAATTGATTTGTAAGTGTGCATCTGTACTTAAATCTGATAGTGTTTGTGAAGTTAACAATACTAGTATAAAATTAATCATTTTGGTTTTTTGGTATCCCTGAACTAATCAGACCTGGAGCTGAAGAGTTTGTAATAAAACATAGAAATTAGGATAAAGACATCTGAATAGCAGATCTTGGTTCAATGATTAGGAAAAAAATGTTCTAAAAATCAGAATTTCTGAAAATTGGAAGGGACTGTTTTTCTAAGCCTGTTAATTTCAGTCATTGGAAACATTAAAACAGAGGTTGGATTCAGGGCTATGCTAACCTATAGGAAACTTTGGGTAAATTAGGAGAAGGTATCCTGTCTGGCAGACTTAATGATAAAGCTGGTCTTTCTGTATGGGTCCACCCTGGCTTAGTGAATAGAGTGGCTTTCAATTTCCACTTACCCTGTTAGATGAGAGCATTTTGTACTGTCCTCTTATTAGGTGTGCCACAGATCAAGGTGCTGAAGTAATAGATATGAATTAAAAATTGATGCCATCCAAGGTTTATTAACCTTTATTTCCAAGTAACTTGGATATAAATCAATGCTCTAAATGTTCCAGTCTCTGCACAGGTAAAGCATTGTGCTAAAATCAGAAGAATGTTAATCTGTTTTTTTGGTGGGGGGGTACCAGGAATTGAACTCAGGGGCACTTGACCACTGAGCCACAGTCCTATTTTGTATTTTAATTACATACTGGGTCTCACTGAGTTGCTCAGTGCCTCACTTTTGCTGAGGCTGGCTTTGAACTTGCAATCCTCCTGACTCAGCCTTCTGAGCCACTAGAATTATAAGCATGTACCACTGTGCCAGGTAAGAATTTTAATCTTTATCTGTGGCTCTCAAAACCATTAAATGTCATCCAATTTATAATTTGCACAAATTTTCTCTAAAGACTCTTAACTCACTCAGGCCTGGCCTGATCCCTTACACTTCACAATTGCTCCAGGAGCTCTCACGGGCCAATTCCCCAAAACTCTGTAGCTCCAATTCAGGAGATTTTCTATCTCTCTTGTGCTTCTTCCCTCTTTCCTGCTCTTCCCATTTACTTTTCCCTCTCTCCAGATTCTATAAGATAAGGAGACAGACCCCAGTTGAAAGAACTTTCTTCAGACTGGGAAAGAACAGGGAGAAGTTAAGCCACCAAAGATAAAGTCTCTCTCTACTTCCCCCGCTACTGTTTCTAATTCTTGTTCTTTCTCCACCTATTTTCCTGATAGCTTAACAGCACAGCCTGGAAATCAGACTGAGACAGACTGAGTGATTCTCGGGTATTTCAGCAGTAGAAACGTTGTATATTCATACTTACTGAGTAGATCCTAGGTTGTAGCTCCTTCTAGTAGATCCTAAGAGACAAAGCAAAGTATGTGACTAATCCCTACTCATAAGAATTTACAATCTTATGAGCCAGACTGAACAAAATCACATGAAATAGATTTAAAGGAAGAAAACCAATGAATTGTGAAAATGTCGACAGCACTACACTCTGAATAGCCTGAGATTCTATAATCAACCTGAATGTTGATTATACAGCATGGGTAGAACTCTGGGGAACCTGGGAAAGTTTCATGGAAGAAGTAAATATTGAATAAACATTTAGAAAATGTAAAAGACCATGTAACTAGGGAAATTAGTATAGAGATAGACTGAAGAGTTAAGGTAATGTGCTACAGAGTGACTCTATTTACCTGTTAGAATGAAGGGTCAAGGTCATGGGGAATGCTAGTCTTTCTCTTCTGAGTTTCCCTACCATTCATTATGTGACTTAATTATCACTTTATCCCATTCTGCCTTGAGTTAGTCATTCATTTTCCTGTTTTCTTCATTAAATGAGAGCTCATCAAATACAGAAACAGTATCTCCTCTCTGTCCTCCTCTATAGCTCTTCACACAGAGGCTAGCAAATCATGATTGGTTCCAAAAACCAAAAACCAAACCAAAACAAAAAAACTCCAAAACATGCCATGTTAAGTAGGATTGATCAGAAACTTGCCAGTGGGTAAGGGAACAGAGAAGGGTCACTTGACTTTTGCTAATGGGTTTGATTTTGAAGATAACAGAAATTAAAATGATGTTTTCAGAACTTTTCCATTGGTCCATGGGTGAAGTGGAAGACAGTAAGTCCGTCTTTTTGTGTAGGTGTTATCCTGGACATTTAGGGAGGTGTGCCCCCTACAGATGGTACATAATTTTGAAATTTAAACTGCCTCAAGTCCCAAAAACTTCTTAATAATATATTTAGCCTTTTTGAATTGTATAGGTCAGACAAATCATTTATTTCATGTGCATGAAGAAATTCCTTCATAAGATTTTCTTTATTTGGTATTGCTGATTCTAAGTAGAAATGATACCATATTCTGGAGTGAGATTTGGGCATGTTTTAAATAATGCATCTACATATGGAATTGGAGAAAGATCTGGAGCTGGAATTCTAGACTTGAACTTTAGAAAAAGATTTTTAGGAATGATTTATTCTATTTTTTTTAGGAATTTTTTAATTGAGAGACTTCAGAACTATTTTATTACACTAATTTCTCCTCTCTCCTAGTCTTGAAATGTTTTAGAACAGTCACTAACCCTGATGTGATCTAGAGTACATCTGCACAGATTCACCTTCAATTCTGGAAATACTTTTCATGTGTACTCTTTTTTTCTCTTTTTGGTATCAGGGATTGAACTCAGCGGCACTCAACTGAGCCACATCCCCAGCCCTATTTTGTATTTTATTTAGAGACAGGGTCTCCCTGAGTTGCTTAGCACCTTGCTTTTGCTGAGGTTGGCTTTGAACTTGTGATCCTCCTGCCTCAGCCTCCTGAGCTGCTGGGATTACAGGCGTGCGCCCTCATGCCCAGCTTCATGTGAACTCTTTGTTATAAAGACTTAACTCAAATGTTAAAGTGATTGAAATTCTATAAATAGTGAAAATAAGAACTGTCCACTGGTCATTTCCGTCAAGCTTCCAATTATTTTTCTCATTTCGTAGCACAGATTTGAATTTATGACCCAGGTATTTTTTGGAAAAAAAAATCTTCAGTGTTCATTTTGGTTATGAAAATCTTATAATTAGTACATATATAGCTCCTAAACCTCTTTTTGTATATACTGAATGGATATAAAGTTAAAGATAGCATTTGTAAAGGAAAAGCAATATTGCCTCCCTATTAAAGAGTAGATTTACATTTATCTGGTGAGTCCACTCTTTATGCCAAGAGAATAGGGTTAGAATGCTACAACTTAGTCACTAAATGAGGCTCACTATAGTCCTCAAACCCGAACTATGGAATAGTTTGAAAATCTAATGTAATATAAATAATTAGAAAAATACAAATCAAATTCTTCTGCAGATGGAAATAAAATTTCTCTCTCTCTCTCTCTCTCTCTCTCTCTCTCTCTCCATTTAGAATTCATTGAATTGGGAAAAAAGTATTATTGCACAAGATACAAAGCAAGAGGTGTCATCTTTTAGAAGGCTGAGAAAGTAGCTCTTCATATTCATTTTAAAAACAATGGGGAGAGGTTCTGCAGGGATCCTTAGAAGCAGCCAACAAATCCAAGTACTTTGTTATTCTAAAAGCTTCCAGAAATCAGATTTGTATTCTCTGGACAAATGGGCATTAAAAGGCACTGCAGCAAACTATATATATGGTATTCTTTATCTTGGCTTCACAATTTTAGCTAGTATATTGGCTTTTCGGTTTAATTCCAATGACACAACTCATAAATGCAGGCTTTTTTTTTTTTCCTCCCCTGGGGGCTGAGGGAAGCCATCATAAAATAAAAATTGACAGTCTGTCTGTTGTATTATAAAGTGTAACGACCCCCACACCCAAAGTTATGTGAACACAGGGAAATACTGCACACAAAAAAAGTTAGGGACACTTCAAACAATAGTATAAACACCATGTTATTCCTCAATAAATTTCACTTACAATGCATAAGTGTGTGAATTATAGGACTTAGAGAAACTGTCAGAGGAAACTGAAGGAACAGCTTCAGAGACAGGGAAGAACTCAAGCCACGATTATTTGTTCACCGTTAACTTATTTTCTAAGCCCATGAGATGAAATTTCAGTTGTTCATGAGAACTAGCCAGTCTTTTCCCAGGCTGTGCAGTGACTAAATGTGTCTGTATGGATGAAAACCTCACCTACCAGGGAATCAAACATGCTAAGGACCTTTAGAGGGCCCTGTCACATTTCTGAATTTTGTGGAACTGGCAATCATAGGATATGTTGAAAATATGTACCTCCCACCAAAGTATGGGGGATTCTCTGAATGTAACTTGCACAACACCCTTCTGGTAGATTTATGATTTTGCGTAGCTTAAAGGGAGAAACTGGACGAGCAGGATGTTTTCTGGTTTCATTAGCATAGCCCAGCCTACTTCCAACACACGCCCAGAACTACCTCATTAACCATTGGGATTGCAGCCAAACACATAAGACTACAGTGAATATAAAGGGAATTACTGGCAAGAGAGCTGTAGACTAACTTACCACCGAACCCATTACTTTTCTAAGATCAGAAATATATTACACTAACAGGAACCACTCCTCATTCAGATAAGAATTCAAGGTTTTCATCTACAGTTTTTATCTACAGTAATTAGCTGCATCATAATAAGACAGATAGCTGAGCTGCATCTATTTAAGTGCTTTTAATCTTCCTCTCCCCTCCCTCTCTCCCTCTCCCCCCCCCCTTTCCCTTTCCTTCTCCCTCCCTCTCTCTTATTTATTTTCTGGGTAGCTTTGACATTGTAAACCACAGACGAATTGGAGCCTGGCATTGAAAAGAGGTGTTCTGCAACTGTTTTTCCCCCCCTTGTCTAAAGAAGTTGACTTCTACAACAGGGGATCTGAAAAATGACAGGGGCGAAGAGGAAAAAGAAAAGCATGTTCTGGAGCAAGATGCATCCCCCCCATTATGAGGACATTAAACAGTGGTGCAGAAGGCGGCTACCTATTTTGGAATGGGCACCACATTACAATCTGAAAGAAAACCTGCTTCCAGACACTGTGTCTGGGATAATGTTGGCAGTTCAACAGGTGACACAAGGTAATGTACTGCATTTGGTTTTCCTGTTTTCTGCAGAGTGGATGTCGCTTTGCTTCTTGGAAGGTATTATGAATGAACTGGGCTGGACAATTTAGATAACAAAATGAATATTTAATGAAACTGTTATTAACTTTGGGAAGCAGTGTGGATATCTTTGTGTAAGAGTTTTCCTAATTGTCCTTTAGTTTTTGTGCTATCTTTTGCTAACAATTACGTACTGACCCAATTTTTGAATGGCATTACACAGTTATGATGTTAAATTTCATACAATGTTAGAGTAAAAGATCAGTTATTATGGGAAAGTGCACTTTTAAAACTTGATTTTGCAGATATAATTTCTTGCCTTCACTGAAACAAGCTATAAAATATATCCTGATTAGAATACAATTGTCTTTCAACCTAATTAGTAGTACACAATTACCTGTTGTTGACTTGAGAGCTGTTATAAGCAAGGAACAGAGCTGTCTGCACAAAAGGAGGCTCTTTGCCAAGATCATTATTTGCAAAGAGAATACTGTATGTCCTTAGAGCTTATGTTTTATTCTGATTTATTTTTGTATCCCATTACCTACTGCATCTATATCTCAATAAGAAATTTAAACTGGTGAGAAGTATGATTTTAACTGCCCCAAAGCAGATTCTAAATGATATTCTGGATTTAGATAGGTGTTTGTATCCATGAAAGCTAGTTAACTAGTATGCACACACACACACACGTGTGTGTGTGTGTGTGTGTTTTCCCTAAAGGTACATCAATCACAGTTTTTGGCTAATTCAGGTAGTAATTTTCTACCTGTAGCAAGGAAAGAAATGGCTTTCTCAGCCTTGAGAATTTGGAACAGTTTTCTTGGCATAGACTCTGTAGGTTTATATTTCCTTGCTATTCCACTACCTCCCTGGCTCTAACTGTTATTTATATTGTTAAATTATAAGCACTCTTTTAATTAAATTATTCTGTAGCTGGAACAAACTGGTTTGTGTATTTGTGTTTTTAGTATGATTAGGAACATCTGCACTGGTGGCTTTACTTTAAGATCCATAACACTATCATACTTTATGGGATTCCATTTCATTACATAGGCTTGTGTTACATTTTTAATAACCATTTTGCCAATAGCAAAGCATAGTAATCTTTTAGAAAAATGCAAAGGCAAACAACAGGATAGGGTATTTTCAGCCTTGCTTTTATTCAATTTAAAATTCAAAATGAAACACTACCACCATGGACTTTGAAAACTTAGGTGATGAACTAAAAAAGGGCTTTTTCATCAGATAGTTTCAGTATATGTTATAAACTTATCTTGCTTTAATGCAAAATGAAAGAGAATTATGTTTTTACTGATAATTTGTCTTTCATGTTTGGGAAATATCAGATTAATTAGAGCATTTTGAGATATGATTAAGTTGTCTGATGCAAATCCTAAATGCTGAGGTTTGTTTGTAAGTCTTTAGTAGTCAATTGTATGGCTTTTATTTGGGTATAGATTTTGAGGGATTTTATTTTATGAGTCATATATTTCATTGAGTATGAAGAAACACATTGGTTAGTCCCCAACAGATGAATAGCACAAAACCTACTCTGCTCTTGTGCCATGGGAAAGTACAGATCTGGCTGCTGGTTCTCTTGGAAGTTTACCAGTGAAGGGACAAGTCACACCGCTAAGAAGAATTTAAAGGTTTTTGCTGGCATACGAAAAGATTAATCCTTCTAAACGTACCTATTCTTTTAAATACAATTTTCTCTCAAATTTTTTCATGGTCATCTACAATGGACAGTTAAAAAACAAAATATCATAAAGCTATCATTTGTTTTAAGTGGCACTGTGCTGTCCTCTCATGTACATCACCACTCTCATTCTCAGTGACAACAGTCTTCTCTCCATTTTACATATGAGGGAATGTAGGTTTAGAAGAGTAAGGAATTTTCCTTGGACTTCATACCTGATAAGTGGTAGAGTCAGGATATGATTCCAAAGCTAACACTCTTAACATTTCACTTTGTATTCTACACTGCCAAAACAACCAGACTTTTTATAATATCAATGTTATTAGTAACAGGAGACTTTTTGGAAAGGTATGAATATCCTTCCCTTCAAATTACTGTTACATTCAGTTTTCATCCCTGTAGTTTTTAGACCCCAAAGGCAAAATGACAAGAAAAATAACTACAGTAGGATACAGAGAAAGGAAGGCATTTAGATATCATCATCTCCTATTTGTGTTAATATGATACTGGCAATTATTATCAGCTTCATTTCTTTAGGAAAATCAGAAGAGGTAGTTTTAGTCCCTGCATCATAATGGAAACAAAAAACAAATATCCTTTTACAGAATTTCAAAGCAGATTTTTATTGACTCAGCATAGTAGAATTATATGAAATTTTTGAATTCAGTTTTTCATTATAAATATGGAAAGTTTATGATTCCATCTAATTATTGTTTTTCATTTTGCTATCTCTAGAAATGAATTTAAAGTTAAGAAGTATAATGGAAACTAGCATTTGAGTGTTTTCTATAGGTCAATGACAAGAAGTCATTTTTTAATTACTTTATTAAAGATTTCCTAATTGTGGAATAAAGGTGCTTTTCAGTTATCAGTATACCCGACTCCTTTATAATATTTTCTGTATTTGCTGTACTCTTTCTAGACTCCTTTATTCTCTTGGTTTCAAGAGACTAATCTTTCATTTTTCCCCACTACTTGTTTGGATTTCTCTTCTAAAGTGCCTCTACAAATTTTGCTCTTTCCATTCTACTCTTTCGATTCAATACCAGTGTCTTAGAGACTCAAACCCTGACCTTCTTCTCAAAAACCACCTCAGATGATCTGCATAAAAGACTCTCACTGTTATTACCATACTAGGATCTCAATCTGAGATCCACATCTACTATGCAAACCTAGAGTGTTCTAAAAGCACATCAGTTGCAACATTTAGTATTCTAAAATAAATGGAATGATACTGCTATCCTAACCAAATTTATAATAGTTAATAATGAAATTAAAAATGATAAATGTAAGTACTGTTTTAAAATCACTTGATGTGTGTGTGTGTGTGTGTGTGTGTGAAAAATATATATCCATAGAAGATAAATAACTTGCCTAAAGTCACACAGCAAATGGAAAGAAGTCATATTTGGACTCAGGTCATCTGTCTTCAGAATTATGCTCATAGTTTTTGCTAGACTTTCTCTTGTAGAAAGTCCTGTGAGTCATTCTCAATTCTTCCCTCCTTTTTTGCCACCCTGGCCACTAGCATACAAGCAGACACAAAGTTCTTTCATTTCTATCCTTTAAGTATCTTTTCCACCAGTTTGCCTTGGTTCATGCCTCTGCTGCTGCCCTGATACATCCTTTGAGTCTTCATTCTCTGTTCTGTCTCCACCTGAAGACAGCATTCCATACTGCAGCCAGAATTCTTTAAGATTTGAACATACTGCTTCCCTGTTCAGAATTCTTAAATAGCCCTCTATTTCCTCTCAGATAAAAGCCCAGTTCTTCAGCATATCCTCTCAGATGCTGAACAATCTGAGCCTCTTTATATAAAGCTCTGCTCAAAGAGATCTCTCCTCTGAAAACCCCTCTCCAGCTCCTAGGAAGACTCATGTTTTCTTTCCTTCTATGCTCTTTGTACTTTTGACATATCTCTATCATAGTCTTTATTTAACACATTGTATTATATATTTTTGGTGCAACTCTTTCTAGACTGGTCTGCAAATACTGTAAACCAAGACAATGCCTTCACCTTTATATTCTTACCAACTTGTATTGCCCAGCACAAAGAAGTAGGTTTTCAATAAACATTGGAAGAGCTAAGCCTTTCCTTAGCTTAATCCACTGAGTGTTCTATTGCACAGGGTGCCGCGATAGGAAGGAAGGTGAATTTAAATTAATTCTTTTTTAAAAAAATATTTATTTTTTAGCTGTAGTTGGACACAATACCTTTATTTTATTTATTTATTTTTAATGTGGTGCTGAGGATCGAACCCAGGGCCTCGCTCTTGCTAGGTGAACACTCTACCGCTGAGCCACAACCCCAGCCCTAAATTAATTCTTATGTTTTAAAAATAACTGTCCTAAGGATACCTATAGTGAAAAATATACATTAAATTATGAGTATTTGGTTTCTTCCAATTTCTCTTACTTTCTTGAAGTCATACACTTGTAGCTCTCTAGACAAATCTGGTAAAAGGTACATCTTCTTTTTTCCAAATAATGTTAATCTTTTTTCTTCAGCCAACGTTGACAAATAGGATATTTTATGTAAAAACCCAAATACTTTGCTTCTCTTGAAAAAGAGAAAGACATGGCTGTACAGGGCCCACATTCCCGTGTGGCAGAAATCTGTTGATCTCCTTAGAGGCTTCCTGCTTTAGGCAGGGCACGCACTGTACATTCTGCCACAGTCCCCACCCCTCCCTTGTCTACTGCCACTTTCTTGTTAGTGTTCCCATTACAAGTTTAACCTCAGCTAATGTGTTTATTGATATGCTTTGAACTCACTTAAATAAAACATTTATGGAGAGATTACATATGACTATATTCTTAAACTGGATCAGCAGAATCTTCAGTTCTATGAACTTGGACTAATGTATTATTTCAATATTCATAATTTCTCCATAATCCTATGAATTTTTTATTACCTGTTTTTAAAAACAGTATTCTTGGGAAGGGGTCAATAGGACTTTACCAGACTTCCAGAATTGTGATTGTCCCTCCCCAAAGTAAATAAATGCAGAAAGAAGTATGAAAGAAACCTTAGGCTCATGTGGGAGATAATAGAAATCATTTTCTTTAAAAAATATTTTAAACACTGAAGAGCCTTCATTACCATCACCAGGTAAGAACCACTCTCTATAGGTACCTTCTGCCAAAATGCTCTTTAGCTGATGTCTTGAAGGTCCTCACTACTGAATGTATTTTGAAAAATTTATAGAGAATGTCATCCACACAAGATATGTTACCAACATGGTTGGCAAGTTAACCAGCATCAGACTGGTCT